GGATATAAATTTACGATCTGTCTTCAAAGCCTACTTGGTCCACTGCGTTCTTCGATCGCAGCCAGTGTAGAGTCCACAACTTTTCCGCTCCCCCAGATAAGTTCGTTACCAGTCCCAAGCAGGACTCGTTCCCTGGGTTACAGGGCTGTTGTCAACCGAACATGCTCTCGCTGCGAGGGTCCAGAGTATTTTCTCATCGCGTCTACTGGCCCAGCAGTGGAAGGGAGAAGGAAAAGGAAGAGGGAAGAGAGAAGGAAGGGAGGAAAAGAAGGAAGGAGGAAGGAAAAAGGAAAGAAAGTATCCTGAGACGCGCTCCCTGCCTCTCAAAGGTTTTTCGACCCCCCTCCCTCCCTCTCGGAATTTCTACCGGCGATCCCCTTCCCCTTCTTGCCCACCATTTTCTTAAACCACTTTTGCCCAGTTTTCTAAAAAAAACTGTTTAGTTGAGCGGAAGAAGGTGTAGTAGGCGGTACGTAGTGCACCCGAAACGGGGAAAAACACTGATAAAAGTCAACAACCGAAATGACTGGCCTTCATCCCGAGAACCACATTTGTGAAAGCGTTGCCATGTGAAATAACATCATCTCCGACACATTCTGCTGTTTAATTAGGAGTGGGGCTCTATAGCGACAGGATAGGTTTGCCAAAGAATGTGGCGCAATACCCCTTCTTAGAATACTCCTCAGAATGCTACGACACTCCCCATCTTACCTACCATCTTATAAATCTTTGCCGAAACCTCATCATTGACCCGGATTTCGTTTTGCAGAGATTCTTCAGTTTTTCCTTTTTCTTCAGAAAACTATCCTTGGGGGAAGGGGATGCGTAGCGCCAGCGAAAAAGTTTACGAACAAAAGCAATTTGCGCTAAAGGAAAACGAACCGACTCCTTATACCTCCTATCCAGCCGACCAAGTATAACGAAACCAACTACGATGGCGGGTCTCTAACCGCAACGACAGGCACCTGAAACTCAGCAAGCCGATCCAATCTTCTGCATGCTTTGGTTTAACGGTGCCCTTCGACCACTTACAAGGCGGCTGCCGCAATTCCGCGCGCGGCATCGCGGCCGAGTTCTCGCCGCGGAAGCCAGCGTATATTCACGAGGCGTGCGGTTCAGCACGGTTATATGTTTTGATATCGCTCACAAGATATGTTCCGTGATACAGTGCTACTATGAGAGCAATGTTAATTACCTTAGCGTGAAATCGACCAATTTGAGACAGAATGAAGGGATTATCTTAAGAAAAGATGCGGTACGACAAGGAATTACACAAGGATTGGTCTTCTTTTTAGACTTTATGGATTTGGTGGTAGATGTAGTTTATCATCCGTCAACTTTAAAATCGAATCTTTCATGAAGCTACGCACGGAATGTTCATGTATGAGGCAACCGTATTATGCACTCATTATGCAAATCGCCTTATGCTAACTTGTAAAAGCCTCACATTTTTCCAAACCGATATCTTTTCAATCGTTATTCCTCCAGCACATAGTGTGAAAAACTTGTAAAGTGCAATAGGTTTCTTTTATCCTAAAACATGTAATAGAACTTATATTGTTTAAGTGTTTCGAGAGACGAGTTAGTTCCAGTACAAATCCCGTGGCCATCACATCGTTTGTTCATGCAAGTTAGTCAACATTACAACGGAAGACACACTTTTTGAAAGAACTCCGTTGTCAGAAGAGAAGATGCGGGGTCGGTTTTTGATCGGGTTATTGCTGTTGCTTTCCTACCTCGTCGAAGCTGATGAACATGACCATATGTACGAAATTGATGAAGAAGTTGTCTTATGATGAATAGAACGAGCAGAGTTCTCATTTTCCTTTCAGCTTTCTTCCCCCACATAAAAACCCATTATAGTTTGAGGAAGGGCTTACGAGCAACTACGCTTCAGTCAAAGTGTGAGAAGACCTAGTAAGAGGTGCCGTGCAGGGCAGCATGACAACGAGAAAAAATCCTCCCATTGAGATCTTTCTAGGTGCTGTCGGCTCGGAGGGGACATGCTGCATTGTCATTAGTTTGCTTTGCTATTTCAGTTCAGTTCAATAACAGGTCTTCATGAGATGATACCAGTAAATTTCTGTGGAGCTGCGAACTGCTGCGAGTGAGCCATTTTGGTCACATAATTTTACAGGTTCTCACAAGGTGCTACCTTAGGATTTAGTACCATTCGGTGCCTCCAACAAAGCGAAATTGGCGTCGCTCCTATCGCCCTCATTTCCCTATCAACGAATCTATGAAAAAAAATCCGTTCGATGCTGGAACGAGGAAACGAGTGTATCCGACTCTCTGTCCATATACAGTTTTTTCCGTGGGACTCGTAGCTCACTGCCACTAGTGCAGACCCTTCACTACAAGCAATATACGTCTTTCGCACACCTGTTTAGGACCTCAGCTCAGCTGTACCCCGGGAAGTGACCGACAGTGTCCTAAGCTCAGCTGTACCCCGGGAAGTGACCGACAGTGTCCTAACCTCCTAAACCTTCCCACGAAAGAGGCTTTTTTTATAAAAGATGCAGAGCTGACTGAACTTTTAAATCGTGGAATTACTGAACGGCTAGTTCTCGCTTATTCTAGTAGTTTTGAACTACATCGAAGGTTGCGTGATGTTGAAATGATATACAAAAGTAGCGAGTACTCTTGTTCGCTGCGTATAAAATGACATGTCAGGCGGGATGAGTTTGGCGCTGCGCCAGACCCGTTCCGCCTCTTCATCCACAGCGAATAAGACTGTACACTAATTGTTAGGTAGCCTCAGCGGTACCTTGAAGCTACTCCAGATCAGACCCTTATGTTGAAGGGTTACAATATTTTGGAAAATATTGCTCATGAGCGTGAAAGGGTATGACAGTAGAGAAGGGAGAACAGTTTCCAACGCAGTTTGGGAATATGGAGAATAGCAGATCGACTCTCCTCTAGAACAAATCGCATAACTTCCAAATTGGAAGATTTTTTGTTATGCACTGCATTCTCCCAGCTGTGAACCTTTTCTTTGTCTATTCCGCCATTTTTCTGTCCCGGGATCCTGTTTGTGTTGCAAAGAGAACATTTCAATCCATTGGCTGGAAGAGCGTTTGCAAATCAATCAGTCGTGAACTGTTATCACAAGATTGAATTCCTCGTTTCGGGTATTCTTAAACGTTGCAGGGAAACGACGAACATTGTGGTTGTAAAATCTTGTAGGAGCAAAGAGCGGTTGATATCAGGTTTGCAGTGGAATATGTGGAAGTTTCGTTTCAGAAGAGCCCAAGAGCTATGGAATCATGACTTGGCCGGCCATTCTCGCCTCTAATCCTACCACGAGTTCGCCTTTTTTCAGACAGGAATGAAAACCAATTCTTGAATTGACCATATTTGCACTCGACTGTCCTTTCCCTTTTCTACCAGTTTCATGGAATATGATACCCGCAACTAAGGAAACGGATGTCAGTGGACCAAAAAGTTCGATCACTTATTCGGGCGCAGTTTAGCCTGGTGGGGGTTTTTTGCTGGTTTCCGTCGGTCCCGCCGAGGCCTCCTGTGAGAACCAGTGAGTTTCTGTTAGTCACGAGGATCTAGCGTGAGTGCCACAATGCCCCTCCCGAGCGCAGAGCGCCCATCATCTATGTATTAGGTTGTCCGGAAAGTTTTGAGAAAATTTCACACTTTTAGTTTGAAGAAGTGTAGCAAGCGAATGCCCCAACAGAAAGTCATATATCAAGTGCTATGAGAAAGAGAAATGTTTGTAGATCAATACTAATGCTGGTTGTTATTATTCTCCATTGTTGGTATGATTTGACATTACCTGAAAAATGTACGAGCGCGCACGACTCCCAACGCCTTTTTCTTCATCTTCACCGTTCTGGCTATTTTGTCGGTCAAATCAGGAATGAGGAAGCGTATCCGATGCTGGATAAAACGCTCTTCAAAATTATCTGTACTAGGAGATCAATCGGCCTCTTCCATGGAAGTTCAGCTTAGATGTTGCGTACGCCCCTCATTCTCAGTACTCGCCTAGTTCTAGCTCCCACGCAAGGTAATCCCGCCCAAAAGGTAAGGGACATAGGATGGACAATATTTATTATAACTATGAACTACTATCTCTTATTGTTGTTGATAAGTGTTAAATGAGCTAGTTGAAATTTCTCAAAACTTTCCGGACACCCTAATAATTCCACTAGATTCTGAAAAACAAGACACACAATGTGACATTAATGAGAAATGATCAATATGTGAAGTTCATGCAGTTATTTAGTAGTCTGTGGTAATGATTTTTTTGCGAATTCCAGGGTTTGTTTTTCGCTGACCAAACACTGTGGCCCTCGAGTGGTTTGTTGATAAGCATCCATTTTTTATTGTGACACTCTCTTAAGTGGGCGAGTTGTCGTAGTCATTAGTAATGACGCTCGCCCACCCGAGGCCTGGGAGGCGGTTCTCGCCAGGTCAGCGCATTTTTCATCCATTCGGCGTCGATTAATTGGTCCCAGATTCCTTTGAGGGGGTAAATACGCCGATAAACTGTATGTCGGCTAGCCTCGCAAGTCACTGTGAAGCCGTATTACATGCAAAATTAATGTTTCTGAGCCAGGGTGCGTGGCGCGCCGGGAAACAAGATTTGGTCAGCGGGAGTGTTCTATCGTTTGTCTTCTACTTTCATCAGAACGTGACCCCTGAGGCTTGTCTGAATCGGAATTCATTTCGCACACTCAAGCCAATCCATTGCTTATGTCCTCCATATCCCGCATATAGGGAGGGCGTGGCTGCATACCACATGGGAAACGTGTAGTCTTCTCTTTGCCCAAAGAACGACGGTTATCGCAGTCTCACAAAGAGCGCATCCAGACACGCCCAAATGAACCGACGCGCCCTCCCTATTCCGGGGATATGGACACTGTCTTCAGATTATAATCGTCAAGGGATTCATTTTCCGAGCAGAGATTCTGGCGCATTTCCAGCAAATAAATCGCGGAAGTCTCCCTTCTCCGGCTCATGCCATTTGTATTAGGACCACTTTGCCAATGTCATGCTGCACTATCGAAAGGATACAGTTAGGACGCGTTCAGATTTGGATCGCTAAAGCAATCCTAGCACCCGATCCGAGGCCGGATCAGGCTGATGCGAGCCGGGCTGAAAATGAGCCGATGCGAGCCTGGCTACTGTGCAGGCTCACCACGGTAGCCAGGCTCGCGTCGGCTCATTTTCAGCACTCATACGATTTGTTTATTCGTGGTGTTTTTCTAGTGAAAATTTGACCAGACGAGCTAAATTGCTTGTTCACGGGGCGAATAAACATAATCGGACGGGCAAAAAAGGTGGATGGGGGATTAAGGGTTCTAGAGTGCCGACAGAAACTGCCGCAGCAAGTGGTGGCTGTTCGGCTTGGGAGGGGCATTTCCTCTCAATAGTTTTCTTTCTGGTTCGTTGTGAATTACATGTGTCGACTCTTGTGAAATGTAAACGATGCTCCTGTTATTGCACAGCTTTACAGGAATTTACAGGTCTCCAAGAGACATCAAGTTGTGACCAGTGGGAACCAGCAGAATCCCCCCCCCCCCAACCGAACAGCGCCCCTCATACTGCAATCGAATTTTAGTCTGAATTTGAACTTGACTGCTTTTTCTTCATTCCTGTTGATCCTCCTTTCATAATTTATGGTTTTTTAGGTTGGCCCGTACAATAATCGGCAAGAGACGTATGCGTACTTTTCCCTACCATTTTGCCGAGGACCAAAGGAGTCCATTGGTCACTACCATGAGACAATGGGAGAGTCCCTTCTCGGAGTTGAGCTTGACTTCTCTGGCTTGGATATTAAATTCAGAAGTAAGTTTTGCCTAATTTACGTCGAAGATTTTATATTTGTCCCTTTTCCGATTGTATTTGCAGATGTGCAAACGTCGGCCATCAAATTATCAGCCTAATGACGCCTATTGACTTAATGTCTCTTGAATAACTCGCATTCTTTTCAGCGAATGTAAAGAAGACAGTATTCTGTAAAATGAAGCTTACAAATGAGGCTTACCAGACGTTCGTGTACGCCATCAAGAACAGCTATTTCTACCAAATGTACCTGGATGACATGCCTATTTGGGGTGAATTTGTATTTTT